ATCTATCTATCTATCTATCTATCTATCTATCTATCTATCTATCTATCTATCTATCCATCTATCTAGTCACATATCTAACCCCAGCACTCACCAGAGGCCTGAGAGACCCGTATCTTGACAGTCTTGCCGCCATCTTGCAACGAGCAGTGCGCAGTGTCACAAGTGCGCATGTACCGCTTGCCCCAGTTTCCTTTGGTCTCCGCAGACCACTTGTGACGTCACAGAAAAAGTGAAAAAGATTGTTTTAAAAAACCCACAAAACTATAGCAGTTTTTACGGCCCTATCAACATAATAAGAAAGGCCTAGGTTGGGTCTGATGGGCAAGGTTGAACTAGACCACCTACTATATGATCTAAATCGTTTTGGATGAGCCGTAAAAAACAATTGCATATCAACATCTACGATCATTTGAAGCAACAGTGCCCTCAGTTGCAGTAGTAGTAGTAGTAGTAGTAGTAGTAGTAGTAGTAGTAGTAGTAGTAGTAGTAGTAGTAGTAGTAGTAGTAGTAGTAGTAGTAGTAGTATTGACAACCTATTATAAAGTCAATGAACAAACAGACGTCTTATCTCACCTTATCTTATCTTGTCTTATCTTATCTCATTTCATCTTATCTAATCTAATCTCATCTCTTCTCGCCTCGCCTCACCTCACTTCACTCACTTCAACTCACCTACCCTCCCCTCACCTCAGATCACCTCACCTCACTTCACCTCACCCTATCTCATCACGTCGCATCTCATCTCATTTGTACTTTGGAAACATCCCTGATGATCTCACGGTTATGAAGGGTGATGGGCAGTAGACGACAACTATCTCATCTCATCTCACTTCGCCTTATCTCACTTCACCTCACCCTATCTCATAATCTCATCTTGCCTGGCCTCGCCTCACCCCACATCTCCTCACCTCCCCTCACCTCCCCTCACCTCCCCTCACCTCCCCTCACCTCCCCTCCCCTGATGATCTTACTGTTGTGAAGTGTGATGGGTAGTAGAAGTAGTAGTAGTAGTAGTATACAATACCTCACCTCCCTTCCTCTCCCCTCCCTCACCTCCCCTCCACTCCCGTCCTTTCACCACCCCTCACCTTACCTCACCTCACCCTATCTCACCTCATCTCACCTCACCTCACCATATCTCATCTCACCTGCAGTTTGCTTACATCCCTGATGATCTTATTGTTGTGAAGGGTGATGGGTAGAAGGAGTAATCGTATACTACAACTATCTCGTCTTATCTCATCTCATCTCCCACCCTCTCCCCTCCCTCCCCTCCCATCCTCTCCCCTCTCTCCCCTCCCATCCTCTCCCCTCTCTCACCTCACCCTATCTCACCTCACCTCACCTCACCATATCTCATCTCACCTGCACTTTGCTCACATCCCTGATGATCTTTCTGTTGTGAAGAGTGATGGATAGAAGAAGAAGTAGTAGTATACTGCAACTATCTCATCTCGTCTCATCTCATCTCACCTCACTTCACCCAATCACCTCCCTCACCTCCCCATCCTCTCCCCTCTCTCACCTCACCCTCTCTCACCTCACCTCCCCATACCTCATCTTACCTGCAGTTTGCTCAAATCCCTGATGATCTTACTGTTGTGCAAGGTGATGGTCAGCACTCCGCCATGACACTCGCTCTCCAGGTGGCCGCCGCCCCCGTCTCCGGCTTGGGGAACGTTTAGGTAGAAGATAATGATGATGATGATAATAATAATAA